GGTGAGTTTCCTCCACCTTCTTCTTCTTCTTCTTCTTCGTTTTGTTCACTGTTTTTCTCCTTCTTTGATCTTTCGTCTCCTTATTCATCCTTCTTCTTCTTCTTCTTCTACTTCATGATCTTCATCCTCTTCTTCTTCTTCTTATTTCGTCTTCATTTTCGTCTTGTACTTCTACTTTCTTCTTCTTCTTCCTCTACTTCTTCTTCTTCTTCTTCTTCTTCTATTTCTTCTTGTTATTTCTTCTTCTTCTTCTTCTTCTTCTTCTTCTTCTTGTTATTTCGTTTTTTTGTTTTTTTAGTCGTGCTTTCTTCTTCTTCTTCTTCTTCTTCTTCTTCTTCTTCTTCTTCTTCTTGAGAGAGAGAGAGAGAGAGAGAGAGAGAGAGAGAGAGAGAGAGAGAGAGAGGACGAAGACGACGGCAACGGGGACGGCGGCCCCGGCGTGCATGACGGCGACGTCCTGAAGCGCCGGGCACTGCGCGGGCGACACGTGGCGCGTCGAGTACGGATCGCGCACGTGTGGACGGCGCGTACGTATGGAACGTACGTACGGAGCATTCCGTACATACGGCCCGTACGATTAAGGCGACGGGGGGTCGAGACGAGCGCTGCGGGCCTTTTCCGGTGCGGCAGGGGGCGGAGGGCGTCGACGACCCTGGGGGGGGAGCCTAAGAACGGTCGTGTACACTTCTAGGGGGCGCAAACGCAGTTGTTTACCCCTGACTTTGCGGGGTGTGTGCAATGGCACCCAGGAAAGGGAGTGGAGAGCAGCAGTTTGTCCCAGTCAGTAAGGACAAACAAAGGGAGGCGGAGCTCAAGTTCTGCGGTTTCAAGTGGATCACAAAGGGGCAAACACTGCCACACTCCAATGGGAATTTTCTCATGGAGTGCAAATTGTGTGGCCAGGGGTTTCAGGGAAGTAAGATGAAGGCCGCACAACACTTCACAATAAAGAACACCTGTGCTAAAGTCTCCGCGGAGCAGCTCGCGGAGATTTGGAACAAGACGAAGTACTCGTTCGATCATAGCCACCATCGGAAGATCCTTGACTTCCTGAGGTCTCGTGGGTTTCGAGACAATAGACATACTTCGGGGAGGGAGCAGGCGGGGGAGGAGGAGTACGACGACAGCAAGGACGAGAGGAGGGCGGCCTAGGGGGGAGGTGATGATGGTGACAGCGATACACAGGATATGGACGTGTGGCGAGAGGTGGAGCGCGCCAGGGGTAAGATGAGGGGGGACAAGGCCGTTGACGAGGACACTACCCCGGACATGGACGACGACGACGACGATGACAAAGAGGATCACGGCGCAGACCTTGGGGCCTCTCTTGATGGGGGGCTGATGACCGCTGGCCGTTGAGGCCAAGAGGGGGCTTCCAAAGCGATGAAGGAGGCGACGAAATTGAAGAAGAGAAAGAGGAAGGCAAAGAAGACCGTCACAGAGGCGACACCAGCACATCCTCTGTCGAAGAAGGGCAGAGTACTTCGACAGACATCCATGGTGGAGACCTTCGATCCGGTGTGGCAACGAGAGTTTTCGAACTCCTTCCTGCAGTGGTGGTACGTGAGCGGCATTCCATTTGAGGCGGCGAGGAGGCCGGAGTACCAACAAGTGAGGAGGCGGTTGCTCGAGTGTCCGCCGTACACACATCCTGTGTTGCCCACGCACCGTGTGATTTCCGGCGACGGCATCCCAGAGCAGCAGTGAGTTGTGGCGGAGATGGTGGCGCCGTGGCAGTCGTCCGCAAGGACATTGCGGCGATGGGAGCGACCATCCTCACGGATGATAGCAAGTCCATCACAAGCGACCAGATAGTCAACTTCCTTGCTGTTGGGCCCACATGAGCCTACCTTTTCAGGACTGTGCAGCGCGACGGTGCTGTTCAGGAAACAGCCGCGGCTGTGGTGGAGCGATGGAAGGACGTGTTCGACAAGTTCAGTGCCAAAAACGTCACCGCTATTTGCACTGATTCTGTGTCGCGTATGTAGCTGCATCCAAGCTCCTCGCGAAGAAGGAAGTCAAGTACAGTCGCATTACTTGGCTTCTGTGTGCGGTCCATGTCTGCAACTTGTTGTTGTCAGACATCGCGAATGGGTGGCACCAACGGGAAGCTTGGGAAGAGGGAGGACACCATCACTAGGGCTCAAGCTGTCGTGCGTCTCATCAGAGAGCATGGGCCGGCTCTCAGCCTTTATCGACGGTTCTCTGCCACCCACCCCTCTTCCGCCTCCGCAGTTGTGGCCAGTTCCAGCGCTGCGCCACCCTCGTCTAAGCGGCGAGGCAGAGAGCTTGTGTACCCCGCACAGACGAGGTTTGCGACGCACTACTTTATGCTGGAGAGGTTGTTGGATTGTCGTCGAGTGTTGGAGGCGTTGATGATGAGCGATGACTGGTTGCAGACTACATGGACGAGGTCCATTTTCTTGCAGGCTAGGTGGGTGCGTCATCAGGTGCGGTACGCGCCATTTTAGGAGCGCGTGGAGGACATCGTGGAGCTGATGATGCTTGTGATGCAACTGCTACGTCGTTTGGACAGAGGGGGGTGCGTGATGACTCACATGTGGACGTTGGCACTTGCCATGGTTGACAAGGTGGCGAGGGCGAGACTGAACAGGACGTCGATGGAGGAGCTCAACCTCGTTCTTCAGGATTGTCAGGCACGGGTCGATCATATGTTGGAGCGCGCACATTGCATGGCCCACCTCCTCAACCCTCGCCACAGGAGCATTACGTATTTTCGAGCGGCGAGGCGCAGCGAGCACAATAAAATACTCGGAGAGGAGTCGCTGCGATACCTTTGCCAGCAAAATGGCGAAGATGAGGATTTGTATCAGACATTGTCACGTTGCGCACGCAGCTGGCGGAGTTTCTAAGTCGGGAGGGCGATTGGACGTAGGGATGGGTTGAGGGTGACAGGGACGCGGCCTCCTGCAGAGGAGAGAAGGAGACGTCGCAGGTCGGGCAGTGGTGGGTGCAGCACGGAGACGGGGTCCCTCTCCTTCAGAGTTACGCCATTTGCCAGACGCACACATGGACGTGCGCCTCTCCGGCAACACACACACCTCCTCTGCCAAAGAAGTGAGGTACTCAAAGTCTCAAACTGTGTCCATGTCCAGCGACTGCCCAGCTTTAAGTAGCACGGGGCCTAGATGGGCGCGCCTCATGCTGGCCTCAAACGGCCCACTCGGTCTACGACCCTACCGGGTGTCCAGACCATATTGCTGTTGTAGCAAGGTGCAAAAACGAGTCTGGCCAAACAACGCCCTTGCTCCTGTGTACCCAATTGAAGCCGTGGCCTTCGGGGCCTTGGGGCCTGCAAGTCCGAAACGTCGTCTACACAGGAATTTTTTTTTTTTGAAAACAGCAAATAAGTATGTGAAAATTGAATAAATAAATGCTCCCTGTAGTCGAACAATGCGGCCTGGGGGCCACCGTGGGCACACACACACAAACACACACACACACACACACACACACACACACACACACACACTCATACACACACACAGATAGACAAATATATCGATTATTTCATTGAAAAAGGAAGGATGAAAATTGCTACAACAGAGTAGGACAACGAAATAAAAACCATGGCAGTGTCAGCTGAGTAGGGCGGACAACTGCAAATTTTCTTTTTCAATTTTTATATTTTATGTTCAAATGGAGGAAAGCAAACAGCACATGGGCATAGATCAGGGAAGACTCACAATATGACTTTGTAGATGCATTTGACTGCAATTTTGGTCCCACCCGAATGAACCTCACTACAAACCACGTCCTGAGTTTAGTACAAATCATGGGGTGAGTACGTCCTTGGTTGGTACACCAAGAACTACGCACACACACACACACACACACACACACACACACACACACACACACACACACACACACACACACACACACACACAAACAAATAAACGATGAGAGACAGCGATTCGACTGTCGCTGCCATCATCTTCTTCGGTTTGTCATCATCATTTTCAGCGTCGTGCTCGCACCCTTCTGCCCAAGTTGTGGAGCAGGTCTCCTGCACCCTCATAGCGACTATTTGGTTTTCTATTTCGCTACGAGCATTGTTCGTCACAGGCATTTGCCTCACATTCCTCCTGTTCATCTGTTGTGTTCAAGTTCAAGGCATGACGATTGGAGTCCTTATCTGTTCGTGACAAATATTCGTCATGAACTCCTTCAGTATCTTCCCCCTCCCCTCACACGTCCACCACCTCCGCCTCGCCGACCTTCTCCTTCCCTTTCTCGTCGTCATCCTCCTTGCTGCTCCGTGGTTGGACCTCCACGTCCCTCTCCCTGACGCTGTCCACATTCTCCTCACTCTGCTCCTCATTCGTTTCCTTTCTCTCTTCTTCGTCTCCCTTGTCCTTGCTCTCATCATCCTCCCCCCCCTCATCCGCCTTTTCTGCCGCATTTTCGCCTTCGCCGTCCTTTTTGCCCTCACCATCTCGCTCGTCATCCTCACGACCACTATCCTCTTCGTCATCGTCGTCCTCATTATCGTCCCAGTCATTTTCGGGCACACCCTCGTTCTCCAAAAGGCCTTCATTCTCATGCACTGCGTGTTTGAGGTCCTTAAAGTCAGGAACAGCTGCGCCGAAAACACCAAGATTATCGTGCTCGTCCCCGAACCGCTCATGACCTTGAGGTCGTGTCGGACCAACACATTCACAGGTGACATCACATGCAACGGGCATGTCGCAAAGGCGCACTCCACCAGCCGGTCTCAGTGTTCTACACCTACGGGCATTATGGTCATTGAGACCGCAAAGGGAGCACTTCTGCTTCGTTTCCCGCGGCCGGTGTACTCTCCCTCCCTCCAAACAACCTTTGATTCGACTCCCTTTTGGAGGGCGCCCTTTCTGCCACCTTGTTGCAGGTGGTGGGATGACGGGCTTAGTTTCCAGGGAGGGTTTTGCACACGCAAAACATGTAGGGTACACAATGTCGGCGTACGTAGCTCGCAAAGCTCTCGTTGTGTAAAACTGGTCTACGTACATTCCAATATCTTCTCGCCGCGAAATAGCTGCACCGTGAGCGCACGGACGATGCTTGTCCTCCCAAAAGCGACAAGTGCACACCACTTATTTTTCTTCAAACTCCACCCGCCACAACTGTCCCCGACCTTGTGAATCGTTCAAGTAGACCTCATACACGTCTCGTGCGGCTTTTCGAATGAAATATTTCCTCGCCAACTGCAAAGTAATGGCGAGCATGTCTTCCACGACCTCAGGGTGATCCCCCACCTGCGGGTCCGCCGCATCTCTTCTCTCCGTGTGCCATCTCTGCAACCAACCTCGGTACTCCTCGATAAGTTGGATCGGCGGCATCCTTTGAGCCTTCAAGAATCTGTTGTTCATTGACTCGACAACTTGCGACGTCACCTTCCCATATCTTGGAGAAGGGAAATGAGGCCCTCCCCAATGTCTCTTGTCCGCTTTCTCGAAGATCTTCTCCACAATGTTCTTGTCTTTCAAAACGTCTGCAACGCGTTGCATGTAGTAGTCAAACACTATCTCGCTGGTGCTTCGCGCTGCTTCAAGGAGCATCTTTGCCTGCTCTTTGTTGACCCTCTGACTCTTTAGCAAGTAATCGCTCACGTGACGGATACAATACGCTTGACGGTCATCACCGAATTCTTCGCTAACCGCCGAAATGAGTCATTTGTCTCGGTCGTACATTATCGTGATCATGTCGTGAGGCACGTGAGCGGCATCACAGACGCGCTTCAGAATAACCAAAAACCATTTCCAGTTCTTCTTGTTCTCTACGTCAACAACTGCATACGCAACGGGAAAACACTGGTCGTTTGCGTCTCGTGCAGTTGCGCCGAGAAGGCAGCACTCGTACTTTCCCCCTAATATGGCACCCGTCCAGCACAAGCAACAACCTACAGTGTGCAAATTCATTCACCGAAGCAGCAAACGCAAAAAAAATGTGGACAAACACGTTACCATTACATTCCAGTTCGATGATGGACCCTGGGTTGGTCTCACGCACGACCCTGCAGTACGTGTGCAAATGAGTATACTCGGCCTCCGGAGCGCCTTTCAATTCCTCGACCACTCTCGCACTTGCTCTGACGCACTTGCTGTAGCTGACGGGGGGTTTAATCGTTCCTGCAAACCATTTCATTAAATCAGTCGCGGTAGTCTCGATCTTCTCACGTAATTTCTTTTGCACCATCAACTCCACTCACTTCACCTTTGCGTGTTTATTGTCTGCTGCTTCCCGAACCGGCGCTCTGCAACCGGGGCGATGCGGGGTGAGACTAACAATCTCAGCCGGGCCATTTACATGTGCTGCTCTACCCTCCAGCTCCCACGGGCAGTCTGGATTATCGCTGATGACGTGAAAACGGGTGCAGTGCGATCTTCTCCGCTTGTACTGAAAACCTTTGACAACGGCGACAAACTAAACTGTTTCACGCAAGGCGTCCATGGACTCATAACGACATCCCACCTGCAACGGTCCCACACCTCCAGTGATAGCATATTGCGTAGGAGGTGTGGTGCGCATGCCATATTGGGGCTCACCACCTCGCCGTTTGACCAGAAAGCCTCTCGATCTGACGACTCATATGCAGCCACCATGTTTGTACTTTTCCTCTTCCGTCTAGATCCAATGCGCGCTCTGATCGGTGCAGATGGCTCACTCTCTGGATGTTGCATAGGCGCCGAGGAACTGCCTCCCAATGTCGAAGAGTCCCGGAAATTCATGAATCTTCGCAAACACGCAACATCCGCATGCAGAACATCACCTTCGACAACCAAAGGCTCAACAACTTCGGAGAGGTCAGCGCCTGCTGGTATGCCGTCTGAGACAAAGTCCTTGAAACGTGAATTGGGGACGTGTGGCGAATGATATGGATATGTGCAACCACCGCCTTGTTTGGCACCTATGGAATCGGACGACAGCCCTGCCGACGGCCTCGATATGAGATTTCGGAGTGTCGATCGGGCCTGCACCTCCCCCGTATCATGAGCCATAGCAAACGAACCGTCCACTCTAATATGGAATCCAGTTTCCTGCGCCTGTGGTCCAGCACTTCCTGCAGGAGCTTGAGTGCCATTGGATGGTGCTGCATGAGACTACTGACACCCCGAACTCATTCCAGAGCACGGTCTGTGATGCTCCCCACGGATCGACGGCCCGCATGATGGCTCAATCGCGGCAGGTGGTGTGGTAGGATAATTCAGAAGACTGCGGTCAGGTGCAAGGGTGAGATAAGAGATGTATGGACGCATCAGTTCCATTTGATGCATGACAATGTTTGATGTGGATTGTCGAGTGGTGTCGCGAATGACGCAGGTGGTGTGTTGTGCATGCAAGGTGGAAAAGACGGGTCATGACCATGGACAAACTGATGTGACGAGGTGGGGCACATCTAGGTGTGGTAGTGCAACGGGACGGTGTGGCGCGGACTGTACGGAAAGGTGGGCAGGTGAGGAGATGACGTATGGAATGGAGTTGCATAGTGGGGGAAATTGTGAACCCAAGGACTGTGGCCAGAAAGGGGTTGTGCTGGAGGCAAAGGAGAGCGAATCGCAGACAGAGGAAGGCCTGTCTAGGAGAGGTTGGGAGAAGACCACGCGATTCATTGTAGGCGAAGCAGGTTGTTGTCTGAATCCCGAGAAATCCACATCACCGGAGCATGCTGCCCTGGTGTTGTCCAGAAACGTTGTCAGGTTTTTGCGAGGTTCGTCGTGCGGTGGACCCATTGCACGCTGCGCGAGACAAGAGTGTGAAAATTGCATGTAAAAACTTGGTATGTGAAACTGACATTAGTCAGCAAATGTAACTTCATGTAATTGCATTGAAAAGGACACAAAGACATTCCATTCCAAGGGCATATGAGAGGTCTCCAGCACCCAACACTTATACGACTACTACAGTGGTACCGGCCTACCTGCCACTTGACTGTTTTTCCCGATGTTGTAAGTGTCGTGGGCCTGCCCCCCCTACTGCAGTGCTTTCCCTTCTGCAACCCTCAAAGTCAGGGCCACGGCCCACAGGCAAGCACCGGCCCTGCAGGTCCTCTTAACGAACAAGTACCCTTGTGGCTCACACACACACGCAGGCGGACAAGAACTCAGCCAGGCACCCAGACAGACAAGCAGACCAGCACGCTCACACACACAGACTGATAAACACTATCAGAATGGGGGAATCTCTGCGACGTACACATTACAGCAGCGAAACAACCGAAATTAGTAGTCTTCTCAATCTGTGTGTTGGTGGGTTATACATATATATATATGAATATATATATATATATATGTATATATTGAAATATATTATATATGTATATATATATATATATTATATGAAATGGTTTTCACCTTTGCAATAGCAGATGCACATCCCAGGGCTTGATCACAGCGCCTGACAGGGGACCTAGGCCTATTCTAGGCTTCTCACGAAACTGAGAAATTCAGGCATTTGTGCACCGGCAGTTGGTTGAGAGGGCCCAGGCACTGCCTCCCTTCTTCGAAATGTCTCTGAGGCGGGCACCTATGAATCTCCCTAGGCGGCGGACAACCGTGGCCAAGTCCACGGCCGCGAAGCCCGCGGACGTGTCCATGCGGACGCTCGACTTTGCGGACACGTGGCGGCCAGTAGGGAGGGGAGTTGGGGAAACGGGAAGCGTGATGGGGCGGCGCAACCCGGCCCCCACCCCCTCAAACAAAAAAAACATGAAAAAAAACAAAGTTTTGGTTGGGGGGGTTAGTTGTATCACGGCGAACATTGTAAAAAAAAAAAAAAAACGCGTTTTTTTTCTTTTTTTTCTTTGATTGATTGATTGATTGATTGATTGATTGATTGATTGATGGATTGATGGATTGATTGATTAATTGATTGATTGATTGATTGATTGATTGATT